CCATCCAAGCAAACAGAGTGTAAGTAAAGTAAAAGCACCCTGAATTCACAGTACAAAATTCAAGCTGCAATACAACATAGTTATGTGGTTAAAAGAGCCACAAGGTAGCAACGGCACAACTTTATTTCTCAACTAAGTCCACCATGCAAGCGCCTCATAAGCTCTGCCATAAATAGGATGTTGACATTACCCAACACAAGCCCAAGGTATGCTTCCTACACAATATTTATATGCTAACAACTTCTAACAGATTTTTTTAGTTACCAACTGAAAGTAGAAAATGACTGAAATTCCCTTCTTGTAATTACTTTGGAAAAGAAAAATATTAATGTACGATTCGATTTGCTATTGTTTCTATTGATATTTAAATCCATATGCACAACATATTTACAGATATTGACTCTTTTTTCAGTGGGCAATTCTAAGCGATTTTTATAAATCACGCTATGAAAAAATGAAAATTTATCGAGTAATGAAATGATAAATATTTCTTTGCCTTTCATCAAAGTTTTCAAATTCATCTCTTGAAAATTAGCCCCGCCCTTCAAAAGTTTGTGCTACTCCAATCTCTTGATGGAATTACGCGAATTCAAATTAATCGGCTTGGTGAGTTAAAAGATAAAAGAATATGATAAAACCGAAAAAAAAAACAAAAAAAAACAGAGGATAGGCAGAATAGTAGTACTAAATAATCTCTATAAATATTATACTTGATACTTATATATACAAAATTACAAAAATTAAAAACCCTTTCATACAAAAACAAACCAAAATTGAAAAAAAAAATCATTGAGATTTCCATGGAACACACTTAAGATTAGAACAAGAACCATCCCAAGTAGCACTACACAAATCTTGTCCAATATTATCACCATCACAACACTTGCAAACCATTCCAAGTGTCTCAAACATCTTCAAATATGAAGATAACTTAATAGTATTATGTTGTTGTAATGAAATTGGTCTTGCAAATCTTGATTCTGAAAAATTGATAAGCAAAAGAGATAGCAATAGAAAATGAACCTTAAATGATGACATGTTATGTAATTTTTTTATTTTTTATTTTTGGTTCAAACCTAAGGGAAAAACAATCTATTTATATGGTGCTAATGATTATAAAAACCAGAAGACAAATAGTATTATATATATATAATACAAGGGGCATGTTCTTAGATGTTCCTTGTGAAGACTTTAGAGGAAAGTGATATTTAATTTTTTAAAAAGTTAGATATAAAGTCATATATTTAAATCTAGAATTTGTGACCACACTAGTGCTCCTCCTCTGTCTCTAACCAGAGACAAGTGGACTACGATTAAAAGTTACATTATATATATATGATTAATATTTTTATCGATATTAAAATTATTTTATTTTTATGTTATATTTGTTTTTAACTTTGTTATTGATTGAAAATATCAAGTTCGAACTTTGAGTGTGTAGTCATTCACAAGAAAATGTTTTATTTCTAAAATAAAAATATTTTTAACATGAACTGAATTAATCAAACTTTAATAGAGATACGAATAATGAATGGAAAACCAAGAAAATGTTACAAAATTTAGCATAATAATGTTGAGCTTCTAGAGATGAGATTTGAGAGATTTTTGGATAAAAAGACAGAAAATCAAGGGCTCCACACGTTTATCAAAGGTCCAATTTTCATACCTACTAATTACTATGTTTTTTGTTTAACATGTGTAGGAAGTTTCCTTTAGCTTATATTATTACTTGTATTATTTTTCTCTATTATACCGCCCTTCTAGATCCAATTGCTTGTACTAATAATACACATAACAACAAATAAATTATTCATCTGTCTTAATTTTATATGTTATAATTTGATTTAACACAAATTTAATATAGACAATTTTATTTTTAATATTTTATGATCTGAAATAAGTTATTATATTTATGTAATTATAAATCATTTCATTAATACATTAAAGTTAATTTGTTATAAAATTTGAAAATATGTTATTTGTTCTAGACACACTAATAAGAAAAAGTAGAGGGAATAACATTTTTATATATATAATATTGAAAAAAACAATTAAGTAGCTTGTCTAGAGACTAGAAGATAAGCTGTTGTCCTAAAAGAACTAAGAATTATTAGGATCAAGACAGTACGTATACTTACTATTATATTATTAAATCCAAATTTATAAAGTACGTTAATTATTCTGGAGGTGGGTTCCTAGATACTTGTGGTGTATGCAGTTTGGGTGTAACCAGATAATTCTGTTTATTTGTCTTAGTTTGATTTGAAACAGTAATTTAACTAAAAAGTAAAATTTATCGTTTTAAATATATGAAAAAGTTTATATGATCATAGACTTATTTCATAATTTTCGACTGAATGATAAACCTAGCAAAAAAAATGGAGAAATAAAAACGTGGACGGCAGGATTCGAACCTGCGCGGGCAGAGCCCACATGATTTCTAGTCATGCCCGATAACCACTCCGGCACGTCAAACTTTGTGAAAGTTTTCTTTTTAAGACAATTTAACTACTGATACCACCAAAATTACAGAAGAAACGGAAAAGGATTAAAAATACTCTTAACATATCTCAAATGGTTCAAAAATATCCTCCTTCCACCTTTTTGTTTAAAAATGCCTTTAATATTTTTTTTAACGTTTAAAATTGTCCCTTTTTAACAACTGGTTGACATAGGAAATGCTGAGTCATTGAATTAAAATAAATGGTTTTATCTTATTGGTCCACCTATTTTTTTTAAAAGTCCAACCCAAGAACCCGACCCATCTATGCTACAATAACTCAAATCCACCCATAAACCCATTTACACAAACCATTTTTATTCCTCCTGATTGATTGTTCCTTTTTGTCTTACCCATTTTGGCTAATTGCCGTTAAAAAGGGACAATTTTAAACCTTAAAAAAAGGTTGAAGGCATTTTTAAATCAAAAGACGGAAGGAGAACATTTTTAAACTATTTGAAATACGTCAAAGGACATTTTAAACCCTTTTCCCGCTTTGATTTGTTGTTTGTTACTTCACAAATTATTTTGACATAAAAATGGACAGGTAGTTAGCTTCACTATGAGGTGTTAAATGGAGTCCGGAGCCTAAAGGGTATAAAATATTAACAAAAATACTAAAACGGTATATAAAATTTTATATTAACCAAAACAGCAAAATCGCTGGAACAACAACGATTTGCTTCACCGGAAAAAGCAAAATCGCTGCTACTCCAGCGATTTTGTAAAATGTGATTTTTTTTATAAAAAAAAATTCAAGTATTGTAAGAAAAGTTAGAATATATGTTGAGTATTAGTAATATAACAATATACTACACAATATTTTTATAAGTAGTTTTCTTTTACATGTATGTATATGAATTTTTCGTGTATAATGAAAGGTTATTTTAAGGACATGAGAACAAAAAGCTTTTATAGGTTTATTATAATTAGTTTTTTGATAAAGCATAAACAAATAGATCGATAATTGAATTAAATGAGTAAATTTATCACGTGAAAAATTTGAATTTATCATTCAACTGAGCATGAAGTGCAACAAAGATTTAGATTATATTTATTATGGTTATGTGGTGGATCAATATTTTCGGAGAAATCTAATAATAATATTAATTTGGACATTTTGATTGACATGAGAAATTTAGATTTAATGTCAACTCAAGCATGGGGAGCAGCCGCATTATCACATTTTATAATTGTTATGTCGTGCATCAATGAAAAAATCAAATGAAGTTTGTGGATTTTTCTCTTTAGTGCAGGTATACATGTTTTTTAATTAAATATTTTTATATACTAGTAATATGCACTTTTAAATTTAAGTGTATTATATGTAATGTGAATTTATTTATTGTAGATTTGTGCATGGGAAAGAATTATTCCCCTACAACCATTGACAAAGCCTCTAAGGACCAATCAACTTGAGGCTTCAACTGCGCTTGCACGTAAATGGACTCAACGTAGAAATCATCAAAATGAGGCACGAACTGTAATTGGTGTGATTAAGAATGTATTAGATAATCAAACTGATGAACAGATATTTAATATTATTAGTATTTTAAATTATTCATATTTTATTTTATTTTAAATAAAAATATGTTCGGTAGATGTTTAAATGAGGCACTTATGGTACAAAAAAATTATTTTGTAAGATTGTTCGTTTTCACGTAGATGTTTTTTTATTTTTCTGCCAATATTGTTTTTATAATTATCTTATTTAATTACTTTTTATAGTTTATTTGGCAACCTTGTTCGGAAGATGTTATTAATGGATTGCCTGAGTGGTATCGGTCGAGACGACGTGTCTGGATGGCACAGGTGCCATTTATTTATGAAATTTATCGTGAGTGACACATGATTGATCGTGTTGTGAGACAGTTCGGTTATTTACAACTTATTCCTGGACCGTGTACCTAATTTTCTGAACATCATTTTAAGTGTGATAAACGATCCAAAATAAAACAAGAAGATATAGATGCATTTAACTACACAAAATATATATAGGAACAACGTCAAAATCGTATATTTGACCTCCATTTGTAAGTGATCAAACAAATTACTTTCTTTGGTACATGAGGCATACCCGCATGTTCATTGGAAATTCACAACATGTTGTACAAAAAGGGTATCAACACATGGTACGAAGACATAAGACTTTAGTATGTATATCATGTAAATTTTAAATTATTATGTTAATCTTTAATAATTTTTTTGTTATTAATATTTGTTTATTCATTATAAGCTAGGAGTCATGAAATGCAATATCGTCGAGCTCGGATGATTGAAAATGATGAGAATCAATCTAATGAAATGAGACAATATGTAGAGGAAGTCGTTCTTATTACAATGGAGTTAATGAATACGGCCTTCCAGGGAACGCAATTGAGCTTTGATCCTGATTACAATCCTCCCACTCAATACGATGAACCACCACCAGTACAAGTATCTCACCGATCACGACAAACAACACCGAGAGAGGGTGCACGTCGAGGTAGAAGGAGCGCTGGTGAAACATTTGATTTTTCTGCAGGGCCCTCTAGCACTAATGTGGCGACTCCCGAGCCTTATTATCCCACATTTGATTTTTCTACAGGGCCCTCTAACACAAATGTTAATTTTTCTAGTCAGCAATCAGTTGGTTTTGTAACTCCAGAGGTTTCAATATCTGATTTTGCGCAATTTAGTGGATCTCAATAAGGTATTCAACATGGTATGCGTGAATTTCCTATACAGAATTCTCCATTTGGTGGAAGATTGAATTTTTCTAATGTAAGTATAATAATTTTCTTAGAATTTTTTTAACTTTTGTAATTTTTTAAAATTTTATTGCTTGTTTATTTGATTATATTATATTGTATTGTATTATATAGTTAAATGTGTCTGATGATTCAAAATTTAATGTTGGGGCTTTACAAAATTTAGTTCTTAATAGATAAAATCTACCTCGGAGAACATCTAGGCTACATAAATCAATTAGATATGGAACAGACAGTCACTATCAAAATGAGGAAGATTTTGAAAATGAAGATGAAAATGAAGATGTAGAAGATTCGGATTTAGAAGAATAATTTTTATGCACCTTTATTCTTAAAGGCTGAAGATTCGAATTTTGAAATGTGTAAATTTTGTTGTTTCGTGCAAGTTTGAACAAAGTAATTAGATACTTACGCAATGAGATTCTTATGCAGTGAGAGTTTGAGGATTTATTTTTTCTTTATGTCATTGGTCAAATCAATACTTTTTATGTTAGGTCAAATCATTATTTTTTAATAGAGTTCAAATCAATAATATAAAGATATTATACTTACAATATTTAAAATGCAGCAAGACTAATTAAATTCATGTCAACAAATGAATATAAAAGATATATCATAATATTAATAACAAGACGATAAAAATACATCAATCTTAAAAACATAGATAAAATATTTAAAATCGAGTAGGACATCGTGTCTTTGTGTGACCTATCTCCTTACAAACACTAAATTTTCTAGTCATGCGAGTCGGGGCTATATCTATATCATTCTTAAGTCGGCTTCTTACTTGCGTACCACTTGTCCGCAAATATTCAGTATTTGCAATAAAATTAAAAGAAGCTGGTGGCCAATATATTTCATCACCCACTGGGTTAAATGTCTCAGTGTATGTTCTTTTGTAATATTTTGTACTGTAGAATTTACTTACATAAGATTTTGGCTCGATTCCGCAAAGTCCACAAAATTTGATGGCATGCGAGCAAGGCATATGATAATTTCTCCATTTTCCACAAGAACATTTCTTACCTTTTGCAGTAACCTTGTGGACATTTTCACCTTTACCATCATGAGCAAAAGTAAGAATTTTCAAAAACTCCGTCACATGTGTTGTAAGTCATCATATCTGTGTGCTCTTGAGCTCTTTGATAATAATCATTAAATTTTTTATCTATCGCAAGAGGCCATGACATATTACTTTGAAGTAATGCAATTGCAAGATTGTTTCTTTCGACAAAACGATCAAAGAGAGCTTTGAACATCATTCGACCCATGACAGTCACAAGAAGCCCCCGAGATTTTCAATACACCATTATATGATTCAGACACATCTGTCGTCATGGCACTCCATGTACGACTACCATCCTTATACATTGTCCATTTTTCCAAAGGAAATTCATTTAACCATTCATATGCTGCAGGAGACAATGTTTTGATTTGTTGCATCCGTTGCTCAAACTTTTTCTTCTGATGCTCAGTAGCAGTCAACCACATTAGTTTATTAGTTTACTATTTACAATTTTTTTAATTAAAATTTGCTTTTAAGTGTCGAACACAAAATCTATGGTATGTGTTGGGTGGACTCAACCAATCATAAGATTGAACACACTGCAAGATTCCTTGATGACGGTCAGAAATAAGACTAATTCCTTGTCGTTCACAAACTACATGTGTCCATAATAACTTGAGAAACCATTATCAAGACTCAAAATCTCACGTGCAACTAAAGCATATGCAAGTGGAAAAATATTTCGTTCGCATCAATTCCAACCGCAATTAACAGTTTGATATCATACAAACCATAAATATGTGTGCCGTCGATAGAAATGATCGGCCTAGGTAGCGATTTGAATTTTTTTATAAAAAAAATCACATTTTTCAAAATCGCTGCAGTAGCAACAATTTTGCTTTTTCCGGTGGAGCAAATCGCTGTTGTTTCAACAATTTTACCGTTTTAATTAATATAAAATTTTGTATACCGTTTTAAAATTTTTGTTAATACTTTATACCCTTTAGGCTCCGGACTTATTTGAGATGAGTCAATAAATACACACGTTCAAAGTTACTCGAGTTGCCACCCATTTTGGTGTTGTAAAAACACAAATTTGTTATAGCTCCTTATCCAGAGTGATGTTAAGCATGTTAATAACTTTGGATTAAACAGTAGTTAGTTTTGCTCAAGTAAAAGTTACATAACTACAAAACCACCAGCAAACTGTCCTGTAATGTTCCAGCCAGGCGTAAATTTGAAGTTGAGCAAAACTTATATACATCGTTGCCTAACTCGAAATACTCAAATCTGCAGTTCACAAGACTAACAAAAACAGAAAAAACAAGACCAACTGTATCTGAGTTTTGTCTTCCAAACTAGTCTATATGAAGTCAGAATCGCCGCCAAAATGTGGGAGATCTGGATGAGGCTTCCCTCCACCTCCAGGCCTCCTTGGGTTCCTGCATGCGGATTTTAGATGACATTAGAGAGGCAGAATAACTTTTAAGTGTATTCTCAGAAGCAACTCGCAAGCTAAGATTATTTTCAGTCAGCAAAATAATTTATCAGAGTTCAGATTGTAATCATCTTGTGAACCAATAAATAGCAGCACACATATATGTATATTCTTTTTCGAGGAGAAACATCGAAGGCACCCAAGTTATACTTGCAATTTTGAGTTCACATTTAACAGGTAAAAACTTGATGGGAAATGCAGGACTTCACCAAAAACTAATAGGTAAAAATGTATGTTTCAACAAATTACCTGATAAAGCGACCTGGTTCAAAGCCAGGAACATCTGGTGGACCATATGGATCAAAACGGGCACCAGGTGGAACACCCCTGTGTATGCAGACAAAATAAATCAATCTTATCTGTATAATGGAAGAGAGAGGGGAGAGAGGGGGGGGGGGAGAGACTTACGGCAGTCCACCAGGTAAACGAGGATCCCCACCCATTCCACCAAAAAAACGAGGGTCATTAGGCCCTGCATCATAAAACATAAACAGCTCAGTTTGCAAAAGGCACAATTTGGAATTTTACACATGAACTGGACACGGCTAGTCACAGACCTACAAGCATGCTCCCACCAGCTCCTGGTTCGCCTCTACAATGACAGATAGGGTTGGTTGAGGGGAGGAAATAAGATTAGTTAGCATATATAAAGTTCAGGACACACGGAATGACAAGTGCCATTCATCATGACATATCAAACTACGAAAAAGATACCTGGTTGGGTATACTCCGGCACCAGGCCCGGGGAAAAGATCACCGCCACCAATACCAGGAATGGGAGGAACCACGTACCTGTAAATCCAGGCAACTTAAGTAAAAATTATGCACCACCTCTAATAATCAAGATATCAAACTTGAAAATTGAAAAAAAAATTCCCTGATGGGGTAAGTTTAATGCCTTCGGGAGTTTTTTTTCCTTTGTGGTGGGTGTGGGTGGGTTTGTGGGGGTGGGGTGGGGGGTTGCTGTTCAATACCAATACTACACGTATTTCTGCTGACTAACAAACATGCTGGCCGTACTTTGAGACATAGTATATTCTAACAATTACCATGGTTAATAGTCTAAGTGGGACATTGTTTGAAAATATGCATCGTAGAAGCATTCCACAATCATTTACATGAATAATAGACAACACATATGATCACGTAGAACATATAATACTTCCCAAAAAGTGAACAACTATCTTCTCGCATGTCGGACTCCAGCTTTCTATGGGAAAATCTCAAATTTATTGCTGCACTCTCCTTCAATACTTGGGTAAGAAATGTTTGAAAATTTGTGTCTTTTTTAGGTAGAAAGAGACCTAGAAGAACAAGTTCTTGATAAAAAAAAATGTAAAATCTATTTAAAGGCATGTTTTCCTATCCAAAACCTAGACAAAAATGTGTTTCTTTCCTCTCTGCCAAAAAAATAAGATTCCGAGTTTAATTAAATATGGTCACAAAAGGAACAACATAATGAACTTGAAGCTTGAGGCTTCTTATTATGGAGATAATTCAAAAATCTCATCTGAATTATTCTTACCATACCAAATGATAAATCATTCCACTAGAAATTTGTAATTGCACTACGCCCTTTATATTTCAAAATTCTCCATTAAATAGTTATGTAATTTCTCATGTTAATATTACAAGTACTAATCAATAAAATAAATAATTGATGCATTTTATTCAATGCTTAATTTCCTTTAGAGCACTTTTTGACTTATTCCATGCATTGGATTAAATAGGGAATTTGGAAATATAAACGGAGGAATGCAATTATGAATTTCTAGTGGAATGATTTGTGATTTAATATGGTAAGAACAGCTAAAATGAGATTCTTGAACTATTTCCATGGAGTGGATAGGAAATGTAAGGAATACCTGTGGGGAGGTAAGAGGAAGGTGGCCTTGGTAGCTTGGGAAAAGGTCTGCTTTCCAAAGAGGCAGGGAGGATTAAATATTAAAGACTCTGGCATCTGGAATGAGGCATCTGTAGGGAAATTAATATGGCAACTGGCTGTAAATAAGGAGTCAATGTGGGTGAAACGGATACATGGTATATATAACAAAGAAGGGACATTTTGGGAGCATAGTGCACCTTTAGACAGCAGCTGGTATTGGAGGAAAATAAATTTTCTGAAGAATAAAATGAAACACTGGTATACACAAGGTCAGTTTAACCTAACTGGGACTGGAAAGTTTTCAATCACAAGTGCTTACAATGAGCTGAAAGGTGACAAAGAAAAGTTGGAAATTGCGGAGCTAATCTGGAACTCGGTATCAATGCCAAAGCAGAGGTTTATCATGTGGCTAGTAATACAAAACAGGCTGCTCACAAAGGAAAGGTTGCTAAGACTGAATATACATGTAGAGGACAGTTCATGTTGTATGTGCCAATATTCAACCATGGAGACAAGCAATCATTAATTTGTTGAATGTGAATATGCTACAAAAGTAAGAGATGCAGTAACTCAATGGATAAAAGTCTGTCTACCTACAAGAGGTTTGAAGGAAACACTAGAGCTGATCAAGATAAAGCATTGGAAGAGTTTCAAGAAGCAAGTGATAGCAGCTGTGTGGGGAGTAATGGTATATCATATCTGGAAGGCAAGGAATTGGAAACATTTTAAAGGAGTGCATATACAATATACGGAGATAGTGAACACAATTAATAGAGAAATGACTGAGAATATTAATGTTCAATAATACAAAAAAAGCAAGTAGGTGTAGTAGTTTTTTGGCAAAATTATGTAATTAGATGTCTTTACTTTTCCTCAGTATTTTGAGGTTTGGATGATTATAAGCCTGTTTTGTGGCTTTTATGTTAATAATATTCACATTTGTTGCCCACAAAAAAAAATTATTTTTATAATAGGGAGCCTAAGTAATTAATTTTGTGGTCCCTGTTGTGCCCATATTTAACTAAAATTAGAAATCTTATTTCTTGGTAAAGAAGGAAAGAAACTCATTTTTGTCTAGGTTTTGTACAAGAAAAATGTGTGTATGCATTAGGATCTTTCTAACCTAAAAAGACAAGGTTTTGAAAAATACTGGGCCACCCAGGTATCGAAAGAGTACGACAATTAATTTGGGCAGAAGACTGCAGAGCTAGGTCCAACTTGCTGGAAGATATTTGTTCACTCTTCTCTGCAGAAGACTGCAAAGCTAGGGTCCGACTTGCTGGAAGACATTTGTTCACGCTTCGAGAGGTATTTCACAAGTTATATTCTAGCATGTTTGTATGTTCTACGTGATCATATGTGTTGGCTATTATTCATGTAAGAAGTATGATTATGTAATGCTACCATTGTGCATATTTTCCAACACTATAATGGTCATTACTGGTAAACCAGTTAAACTTTATTAGAAATTTGAAACCCCAGTGGCACAAATAGCATCGAAATATCGAAGAGCAAACTAGCTCTTATTTAGTTTTCTTTGGCTTGTAGAATCTTTTGCCATTCCTAGTTGTTGTGCATTCCATGCTTTCTAGGATGTGGTTGTACAAAGTTCTATATGTGGAGTAATTATTCAAATAGGAATTTGCTAAGTCATTTTTTTTCTATTTTGAGCATGAAGAGGAAGGAATGGCATGCACAGTGAAATCCCACAAGTGGGGTCCAAGGAGGTTAGAACGTACCCACACCTTATTACTACATTGTGGAGGTAGAGATAAGGTCTCAAGTAAAGAAGAACGAGATAGTGCAGAAAATATAGTAAGTAGCAAGGAAGCCAGGGAGATTTCAAAAAAGTCCTGCTTTTTCACATTACAAAGTGCATAAACAAGGAAGCCCAACAGTGAATGCTATTATCAATGTAGCTCAAATCTCTAAAGGAGCAACTACTTGGAGTAATTGAAGAAGAGGCATGGCCATTTAGAGGTCCAGGTGTCTTCTCCAAGGCAAGTGGCTGCCGATATATATGGACCCTTTAAATGTGTATTTCGAGGTGAATAGCATCTGGGGCTAGGTTGTCCACTACCGATCAGTTCACCCCTTTTAAGGCCTCAGGGAAGAGAAGGAAGTACAAAAATCAAGGATACATGGATAGAAGAAGAAGAAGAAGTCATAGGGATTCAAGAGGAGACTGACTGCTTTCATTTACATCTTTTATCTTTAACAGCTTGGGATCCTTCCGTGCAGTTCTTAACTTTTTCAAGGTAGAGCAGTATACACTCATATCACACAGAATATGATGATGTAATTTATAGAAAGTGAAATCAAAGAATTTGTTTTCTTGAGAATTGTGAACCTACTGCCGGTAGGTATGAACAACCAATGAGAAAATCAATATATACATATATATATATATATATATATATCAATAATTACTGATAGGAATAACAACTCTTCTTTTATCTAACATTACCCTGAGGGAAAAGAACCTGCAGGCTGATACGGATAGTCAGGTTGGCGTTCAACATTAGGAGGGTTGTTGATTTCTCCCTTTTCAGAACTGCATACAAGGAAGTATAATTTATGAATTTAATGGTCACATCACTAAAACACGAATTGAGAAACAACCCAATTGAATGTACCTTGAAGTTTGAGTAGAGGAATTTGACATAGAAGAACCAGTATATTTAGTCAGGATGGCTTTGTTCAGTTCTCCTACCAGCTTTCCCAAATTCTTGAACTGGGTGTTGTAGTTAGTTCCCCCATCCTCGACAATGTAGTCCTCAACACTGCAAATTACCAAGATGGACTCGTCGGAACATACAGAATGTAATCCCTGATTAACTAGCAACTAGCAATGGAAGGGGGTAAAGATGCCTTCTGTTCTATCCTTTGTAGGGGGCCATAGGGAAGACCGGGAAGATTGCTGATGTAAAGGAAGGAAGTTACTTGCCTTAGTTCAAGATGTAGAGGCTCGTTATCGCCATCCCTGAATGCATCTATAAGCAGCTTATTGTTCATTGCGAGGCACTTCACCAACACTTTTTTGGAGCTCTTCTCAGGCTTTGAATAAACAAATGCGTAACAATCCTCAAATTCATTCCAATGATCAATACCCACCTCATCTACTAAAAAGGAAGACACACAATCATTGCAAATATATATGATGTGTACTAAGCATTCCAATTAGAGAAGTTGGCATCTACTTATGAAAAAGATTAAGGCAAAACTAGATGAAGTTGACATCTAGACCTTTGTTTTATTAATTGATCAAGGAAGTTGACATATAATTCTTTCAAATAATTCAGTCGTGCACCAACTGGTTGCAAAAGGAAACCCCACTGTGATTCGGAATACATAGAAGAAGCTGAAGTACTTGAGTAGCAATCCATGAAGTACACCTGAGCTGATACTTAAATGGCTTTTGAGAAAATACTCATGGTTGACAGTTCAAGTTTGTCGTTGAACAAACTAGCAAGAGTACCTCCCACATCAAAAAAAAATGCATGTAAAAATTGATAATTAGGCTGATTATATAATAAATAAATAATCTCATTAAGAACGGTAAAACCCGAAGAAGTCGAGCCGTGAAGTTGTTCATTGACCCGGAAATGATTTGGAAGATAAAAGCTCCGGTAAAGGTAGCAATTTAGCATGCATCGGTTGGATAGCAACTTGGGAGGCTTGTTTGACTCAAGATAATTTGCCAAAAAAGGATTTTAAGTAAAGTAACCAATGCTAACTTTGTGAAGGAAATCTGAAAACAGTGAATCACATTTTCCTCCTAGCAGAATATCTAGACAATGCTGGTATTTATTCTTAAATATATGCGGCATTTCTAGGTCGACGCCACAGATTATAAAGAGTTTGTTGGTAGAGTGGCTGTCCCGAAGGGTATCCAAAAAGCTGAAGCAGATCTAGAGGACCACCCAATTGTGCATATTTTCAACCTAATGGTTGGAAAAGAACAAAGCTTGCTTTCATAGGGCATAGAGATCACATCTCAAGAATTAAGAATAGATGTACTCATAATCTATATTATTGGGGTAAATGCAGTTCTACTAGATCTGCATCAGTTCTATGGACAGTTCTATGGATTTCCTGGACTTGTTAGGAGAAAGGTGACCAACTATACATTTTGATGAGTCAATACAAACCACAAGAAAGATAACCTACTAGACCAAATTCAATAGAGAACATGATAACATGAATGAAGAGGATCAAAATCAAAGTTATGTCACCAATTAGAGCTTCATAGAAAAACCTACAAATTTCATCATAGAACCCTCTAAATAAAGAACCAAACTCATGATCTTCAGTTTGTAAGCTCTTAAATTGAGCTTCCACATTCCTTATCCAGGCACAAAAAAGAGCTTTAGTACTTCTTATTTCCAATTACCAGCACCACTTCCAATCAAAACATCCCCGAAAGTAGCTTTTCCATTTTAAAACAGAAGGCAACTTGAGACTTCTTATGGTGCTAGTTTCCCTATAAAGTTCATCTATTCATCTTTACAAATGAAAAAAGTAATCAATTCCAGTCTTTAGCAACATGGAAATAGCATCTCTTTAAGAATACTAATCATTGAACCAAAGCCTTGATCTTTTAAATGAGAACAATCAGTAAGCACTCAGCTTTCCAAGTTTGATCATATAAACTCAAGAAATTCCCAAATAAAAAACAAGACACAAAATACTGGACTAATCCAAAAAATAAAATAAAAGACATAATCATCACCAATCACAACAATTTCAAAAACCCAATACTCAGGTAAAACCCTACCCCCAAAAACTCCATAATAAAGGGGAAACTTCAAAGTCAATAACAGGGCAAAATAAACGTACCAGTTGAGGTGGAAGAAAGAGCATCATCAGTTGAAGCGGCAGGGCCAGTGGCATGGAGAACAAAGCCAGAAGCAAGGAAGGCAGCGTGAACAGCAAACGCTACCTTGTCGTGGGGATTACGGAAAGTGGGTCTTGCTGCCCGTATCACCGGCATAACAGATTGCTCCGTAGCCATTGTTATAGAATTGATGATGTGAAGAACACCGACTCTGATTGTGTTTTTTTGGTCTCTTTCTAGAAAATGAACTGCTTGTGGAAGAAGAAAAGGCAATATCTATATTTACCGCACCGAGTTCGCGTAACATCGTAGACCGCCGTATTTTACGTGGCGCCGTGGTAAGATTGTTTTACTCTTGCTCACAGACATGTTCGAGTCTTGTAAGTATAAAAAAAAAATCTGATTTAATTGTATATTTCCTACCCAAGTCTCTTTTTTCTTTCTCCTTTTCTCGTTTTATACAAATTCAAATTATATATAATCGTCCTATTCACTTATAGTTATACAATTCATTTTATATACTTCATTTTATACAATTCTCTGCCAAAGTCTCTTTCTCTTTTTCACGTTTTATACACTTCATTTTATACAATTCTCTTCAATTGTATATGTATATTGACATTACAATATATTCTTAATAAGTTTCTAATTACATTAGTCCTTTTAAAGTTAAAAAAATCGAATATAATAATTAAAGCTCGAAAAAATATTTAAAACTGACTTGATACATTAATATATAAATTAGATACATTAAAAATTACCTTGAATACATTAAATACTAGCTCGATTACATTTAAAAATAAATATTTAATTTTTTTAAAAAAATAACAGGAAATAATGAAAATAAGTGAAATAATGTATTTCACTATTTCCATAATATCAAGACAAATAGTGTTATGTAAAAATCAATATATTCAAAATTAACATTGTCTAATTTGGTTTGATTTTATTTTTAAAAAACTGAAGAAATAAACAAGTCAATTATATAATTATGTATTTTATTTATATTTTCATTAAAAATTTATAATTTAATTATGGAAGTAAAGAAGAAAAAAAAAGATGAGAGCGTTAATTTTATCGATTTACATATACATTTTTTTAAAAAAAAATAATAGATTTAATTGAACTCTTAAATTTTGTGAAATAGTTCAAATTTCTCTTATTTGCTATAAGTGCAAACTTTTCAATATATGAATTATTTTAAGGAAAATGATCAAAATTTATTCTTGAATGATATGAAATGGTTGGATTGGATTTGTTTTTAATAAATTTTAAAGAAAAGGTTAATATTTCAATAGTGTTTTAATATCATTTTCTTCAATGACAGTGCCTCCAACAGTCAAGCCCAAATCCATCACTTTGAAGGAAAAATTATATGGAATGACAACATTTCTAAGTAATTATATAATAGGGTATAGTTTAATTTATTTACTTTCTATAATTATAACTATTTTGTTTTCGCTATAATTAATGGGGTTCACCACCTATTATATAACTAATAGTATAAATTTTTTTTTAATTTTGTATATAATTTTACACAAAACAATATTATCTCTTTTATTCATATTTCACCTTTTTCTTCTACAATTAATACTTCTATCCGATTTAAATTTCAAATTGTCCAAAATTCAATTACTCCCTCCCGAAGTTGAATTCATTTTTCGTAGGTACTCCTAAATTTTAGTCGTTTTCCTTTCTTCTTTTTTTCTTATTCAACAACTGTATATGTATTGTGTTTCTTATGTTTTTTCATATTTTTTTGATGAAATAATCGATTGTTTGTTCTTATTAGATCTCAAATTAGTCGCAGAATGAATGAATCATCTTCATCTATGAGGATTACCAGAGGTATTCCATTGCATGTCAATTTTGTTGACAATTTACCATCGTTTTCAATGGGTTTAACTCGAGATTTTGGGACTGATGTAGGGTTAATGGTAAAATCAAAACAAGTTCAACATGAACAAACAATGGAGAAGTTGAGATCAAAGAAAAAATATGACCATATGGCAGTTCAAGAAGTTATTAACAATGCTAAAGCTAGAGGCATTAAAATTGTACAAGGAGGAAGAAAGAGGAAAGCAGTAAACATTGTTTCAGAGAAAAATGCATGTGAAGTTGACGGATCTGAAGAACATCATAATCATGAGGTAGTGGCTTAAAACACAAATTTAGATACAATTTTTTTGTTACTTATATGTCAATATACAAAAAATTATTGTTTAAGTAAATTTTGTATTCACGTAATTGTATATAGTATATTGCATGTTTAGTACACACATGTTTTAGTTA